TCAAGCAAATTGTGTCCCAGCCTCAGTATTTGCCACATAATGAGCTGTAATATATTACTCTCCTGGTCAGACTGGGACCATTACACCTAGATATCAGCCTGCCCCGCTATGCTGCCACTAGAATAGCCTTTATCTCTGATAACAGTGATTGAAGAGTTATCCTGTCATTTTTTTCAGGCACTGGTTGCATCATAGGTGAGTTAGGTCCTGTCCCTTTCTAATCTCTGATTCATTCCGTTTTTTATGGCCTACAAAGTAGAATTCCAAACAATAGTTTCCCTTTACCATTTCCTTCAGGCCTAGGTCTTTTGATTTGCTTTATTTCCAAATATTATAAACTCAAAAGGGGATGATTCATGTCTCTCAGAAAAATTGATATAATTTCTTCTAACTGCATTATTATACTCTTAATATCCACGTCTCAAGAGGTTTTGTGGTTTCTCCTGCACATACTGCAATCCAACAGGAGACTGCCACAGTTGGCATCATCTATTCCATATTGCATATAAGTATTACTATTTCCATAAGACCCGGAAGATTTTGTCCCCTCTCCGCATCACTTCAGAGCAGTGTAAACCAGCATGATTCCCATCTGGAGAGAGTTTGAATAGGAAGTGTAAGTTTTTCATAGATTCATAGATTAAGGGTCGGAAGGGACCTAGTAGATCTTCTAGCCCGACCCCCCGCCAGGGCGGGAGAACAACAAAAAAACCCCAAAAAGAGAAACGGGACTCAAATGAGTTGCATCTCTGTGCATATGCTCACACAATGCTGCCAGTTTGTATGGCTCACAAGTGGATCCTAGGCTGCCAGAAATTGGATCTTTATCACTTCGCGGTACTGCCATGGGGTAGATCAGGGGTTGTCAACTGGGGGTATGCCCAAGGGGCTACATGTGGGCGGGCGGGGATGGAGCGCCACCACACACCATTCCACACTGCCTGGCCAGATCCTCCACATTTGGCCTTGTACCACCGCCCTGCTCTGCGTCCATCTGCGTGCCACCTCCCAGTCCGTGTCCAGCCACATGCCCCCACACTTCCCCACTCCATGTCCAGCTGTCAAGGGTACACTGATCCAGAAAGGTTGAAAACCTCTGGGTTAGATTGTTGTTTGGGCAGTGGACAAAGATGGACACCTGTTATTTCCCCCACACCCCCTTTTTTTCTTCTGGAACATGCTTCTCTCTAATCCTTTGATAGCAGCTGCCTTTCTAGGGTTACCACTTTGCTAGCATTGTAGAAGGAGGTGAAAGTATTTGCCAGGTTCTGATACAGCTTTTCCAAGAGCCCTGATTCGGCACTGGGAATGAGTAGTTCTTTCAGTTTCTTTTTGAGCAAATACTGCTGAAGCTGCTGCTGAAGGGCTGTAAAAGCAGGGTATATTTTCACTTCTGCATCCTGCACAAAATCCTGACTATTCTTTATTGAAATTTCTTGAAAAGTGCCAGCTGTGCAACAAATGTCTTTTTTTTACTAACTTTGCTTTCCATTGACATACAATTTTTATAATTTCATCTTCCATATGTAACATGTCCGTCTGTCTGTCTCTTACACACACGCACACTACATACATACACACAAGTCAACTATAGAGCTAGAAAACGTGGGGAGGAATGAACAGCACTTGAGCTAGCTCCAGACATTGTGTGGGCTGGTGCTGTTTTGCCAGCATGGCTGTGCCAGAGCATCTCAGCCCTAACCTACTATTATAAAATCCTTAAATCCCACATACTACGGTGCTGCCGATATGCTACAGTGCTGTTGTAGGCATGTCTTACTCCAATCAAGGGACTGTGCTCATATTGCCAGTCATGGTCTATTGTTCATCCTGCTCTTGCATCCTGTCACCCCCACTCAACATAAATATAGTTTTGCCAGTGGCTTTCAGTTCTAATCTCTTCTGGACTGCCATTCAGGTCTGCTAATGGATCTTGGGCCATCTTATCTGTGAATCTTATCTCAGTCCCAGCCTTTCCTAAGGGAAGAACAATCATGGTTACAGTTATGATGTGGATAAGGCCTACTCTGAACTAAAGGGAAAACAAACATATTACTTCCAAGATCTACACAATTTTCATGCATCTAGATCCCCACTTACACAAAGTACATTCAGTACCACCAATTAAATATCCAGTGTAGTTCATTAGGTAGAGGTAAGCAGTGTACATCAAGGAAACTAGCTTCTTAAGGACCATGGACAGCGCATGGGCTAACGTGCCCTTCTGCAGCGCTTCCCAAACTTTTCCTCAGCATGACCCCATTTATGACTCCTCACTCCCAACCTGCAGTCCCCTGGCCCTGACTGTCTCTCAATCCCAACTTGTAGTCCCCTGGCCCTACTGGTGCCCCTCAATCCTGACCCACAGCCCTCTGGCCCTGATGGTGCCTCTCCCTCCCAACCTGTTGGCTCCCACTCCCCCCGGGTGCCCCAGAGCCAGGGCCTGCAGCCCCCTTCCTCCCTGCCAGCAGCACCCAAGCCTTGGCTGCTGCCCGTGAGAGGTGGCAGCTTCTGTAGCCAGAGCAGAGTGTGGAGCCCAGCTCCCACCCCTTCCCCCATCCCCTCCTCTGTGAGCAGCACAGCCAGAGCAGAGCCCTTGGGAGATGGAGGAGGGAGGATGCAAGCTGCCTGCTGTGGGCTTGGGGTTTCCTCCCCTTCTGCCCTTCCCCTGGGGGCTCCATGGCCCAGCGGGTGGGACCTGGGACGAGAGAGTGCTGTGCTGCCACAGCTGCCAAGCTGAGGTGCCCACTGCTCTCTTGGCAGCAGTGGGGACACAACCCTATGTGGCTGCTGCTGCCGCATCTCACCTTGGTGGCCATGATGGTGCAGCACTCCCTCCTGTGCTGGGTCCTGCCTGCTGGGCTGTGGAGGTGGTTCCTGCCTGGAGCTGGTCCGTACCCCACTGTGGGCACAGAAATCTCGTAACCCCAACCACTGATGTTGCGACCCCATTTGGAGTCGCAACCCACAGTTTCAGAACTGCTGCCTTTCTGAGTGTGTCTACGTGTTCATTAATGCACCATAGTTATTGCGCATTAAGTTTAGTACTTGGATAATCAATATGCACTAATTTGCAGTACTGCGCAGTAGTGCTGGCGCACAGGTTTTTTTGGACATTAACTGAGCAGTAGCCTAATACTACTGCACAGTAGCGGGTTAGCATGGGTTTTGCCCAGCATGCTACTGTGCACTGTTATTAAGCTACTGCACAGTTAGCGTCTCATGTAGACACACCCTCTGTAACTCAATCTGTGACTTGAGAAATCACAGTAAACTTAGTGCTTTGGAAGGCACTTAACCAAAGGCCTTCATATGCAGTTTTCCAGCATGTTGCCCTTCCAATATGGATATGAAGGAGAACAAACTGCTAGAACTTGAATCCCATCTCCAGAAAATCCAAATCAGTTCTTACACACAATTAAACAGTTCACAGATGTAAGTGATTTCGGTCACAGTGCATCTGAACCATATTTAAAACCATATTCTAGAAGAGAATTGGAACTATTCCTTGATCTAACCCTTGACCATGAGATTGGCCAACTAGTAATAATTAGAGATAGTGGACGCGAGATGGGGGGAGGGAAGCTGCTTTGAGGGGTGCAGCCCTGCACTGCTGCCCTCATTGCAACCCTGCATGCAGGAGGCACATCGCCAGGGCAGTGCAGGCAAATCTCTGTGTGGCCCTGCTGCTGTTTGCCGCATTGGGTCGCACCCAGTGGGCTGGGGAGGCTCCCGGGGAGAGAAGCAGGGCGGCAAGGAACAGCGGTGAGCACCTTCTCTGCGGTGCTCTGCAGCTGCCTGCCATGCTGGGTTGTGCCTGCAGGGCTGCAGGGGCCCTGGGGGAGAAAAGCATGGTGGCAGGGAACAGCAGTGAGCAACTTCTTTGCATGGCTTTGCTGCTCCCTGCCACCCTGCTTCTGTCCCCCAGGGCCTCCCCAGCCTGGCAGGTGCAATCCAGCATGGCAGGCAGCAGAGGAGCTGCATGGGGATCTGCTCACCCCACACTGCCCTGGTGACATACCTTCAGTACCTGCTACTGCTTTGAGGGGGGTAGCCCTGTGCCATTTCCCTCAGTGCAGCCCCGCGTGTAGTAGGTGCGTTGCTGGGGCAGTTCAGGGTGAGCAGCAGTGAGATCCTTGTGCAGTTCTTCTGTCTCTAGCTGCACTGGGTCATTCCTGCAGGGCTGCAGAGACCTCGGGGAGTGAAGCAGGGTGGGGGCCCGAGCCTGAAGCCTGTGCCTGCCCCCTGATACAGATCTGTGGGGTGTGGGTTCCCTCTGCCCCCTGGGAGTGTGTGCTGTGACAGAGAGCTGCCCAATCTGAGCCCACAACAGGGGGGTGGGGGGCAAGGGGCACCCGCAGTGCCGGGGGAGCTCTGGGGACCCTTTAATTTTTATCATGGATTTTGGGTTTTTTAGCACAGAATTTGTGATATTTTATCAGGGAAAACCAGGATCCCTGAGCATGAGGCAGAGGAAGCATTTAGAGAAACATACACCAAGGGTGGTTATGTGCTTTTCCTGTTGTAATACCATGAAAATTGTAACAGGAATTAATCCCATATCATTTGACTCCTAGTTCATTAAACACTAGAACATACTGCCTCTGTAATTATCTAACACCTTTTTCACCAACATGCAGGACACTGGGAAGGGAGTCTTGGAGTAGCCTTGTGTCTTCATGCCACCCATATCAAAACAGTAGTAACTACAGATTTGGAACCAGTGTTGCATTGTAGATCCCAGAGATGCTGGAAGTAGAGAGTACAATGCTGCTTGGCTTTGGTGCTAGCATCTCTATCTGCACAAGCAGAAATGATATTGCTTTGAGACAGCAGTGCACCCCATCTAAGAAAACCTTTGTTTAGACCCTGGTAGCATACAGCATGGCATTGGTGTAGAAGCTGTCTCATAGGTGAGATGGCAGAAGGGCTGGCTGGAAGTGTTGGTGGGACAGGGTCATGGGTCTGAGCTGAGGCTGATTCCTGTCTGCATATTGCAGGAGTGGGCAGATGTGTGCTGCAGGGGGCTCCGGAGTGTCCATGCCTACATCCTGGTCTATGACATCTGTTGCTTTGACAGCTTTGAGTATATCAAAACTATTCGACAACAGATCTTGGAAACAAGGTAAGTGCTGGGCCCTTCTGAGTTACGAAAAGAGCCCTGTGCATGACTCAAATCTGTTTTCACTTGTGCATCCTCTTCAATTATATACTGGGCCAGAAGAGTAGGTTAGAGCTCAGCTCCCTCGAAGAATCTCATGCTCCTATCAATGCTGATTGCCCTAGAGTTGAATGTCTTCTGACAGGAGCAAGTTAGAATCAAGGCCCCTTCCACCAGCACACACTGGTATTTCACACAGGCATTGTAAAAACACAAAGGGTAGCAAATAGGTCAGAAAAGAAATTTCCCAGCTGCTAGCAGCTACCAGTGAGATATTAGGATCCACAGTTGGGCCATACTGAATCATTGGCAAACATTTTTGAGTTTCTTAACAATATTTGTAGACTGTGTGAGCTGCAAAGTTGTTTGCTGCACTGCATGTGACATGCCCCTCCAGGCAGAGCAAGATGTCCTGCTGACAGGCCCAAAATAGTAGCCTGTTTGCCACCCTTGTGATACACATGGGTAGCTTCTGATTGCTTTCTTGTGCCATCTGGACAGGCAGAGCAAAGTCCTGAGGACAGGAAGATGTTCCCAGGAGACAAATGTTAGCCAAGAGATAAACTGCAGGGATATTACAAGTGAGCTAGTGGGGAAGAGAAGAGCTAGAGGAGGAGGAATAAGGGAGCTGAAAGAGCTAGCTGGGGACTGATTGGGATTGATGGACTGTGACCCTGAGGTGGAATGGAACTGACATAACCATTTCCAATTCCCATTCTCACCATTGCTCTCTCAATCATTCTTCTTTTCAGAGTCATTGGCACAACAGAGACCCCCATCATTATTGTAGGCAACAAGCGGGACCTGCAGAGAGGCCGAGTCATCCCCCGCTGGAACGTCTCCAACCTAGTAAAAAAGACCTGGAAATGTGGCTACATTGAGTGCTCAGCCAAATACAATTGGCACATCCTGCTGCTCTTCAGTGAGCTCCTCAAGAGTGTGGGCTGTGCCCGCTGCAAGCACGTTCATACCACCATCCGCTTCCAGGGGGCACTGCGCAGGAACCGTTGCACCATTATGTGAGGCTTGCTCACTATGCCCATGCGTACACTCAGAGACCAGAGCCTTCTCTAAACTGGAGGAGCATGGCCAGGAGGACACAAGCAACTCTATTTTCAAAGGAAGCAATGTCAGTGGCATGCCCATCTCTCCTGGATGAAGCCTCAGCATGACCTGCCTCATCCCTGCCTATGCTTAACATACCAATGGCATGGCCTGTAGATTCAAGGCAGTGGTGTCATGCTCTGCCTTCCACTCCCATCACCTGCATTGGATCATGGACTGAACTATGCAGTACTTCATAAGAGAAAAGAGGTTAACTGTCACTGTGGAGAGAGAAGGGACAGGGGAAGTCTCTCTGTTTATATTGCAGACAGTTGGTGAGCCGTGACAGCGTGGAGCAAGGCAGAGCTGGGAGGCTACCACTTGGCTGTTACCTAAGGGTGGCCAGCTCACCTTTCAGGGAGTGGATATCACATATGAAGGAAGGTCCTAGATTAAAATCTCAGATCCAAACACTTCCAAATTTTGTAGGTGTTTTGATCCAGCATTTTACTCATTAGGTCCATCTATGACACAGCAGATATGGGGCTCTGTAGTGGGGCGTGGGGACACAGCACTATCTGAATAAGAACTAGAATTCAAACCTGATCACTGGGCTTGGCACCCACCAGTTGAACCATGGCAGAAGGGAGATGATGTCAGAGAGACCGTGGTCCTAAAGCTCAGTTTATAAACCTCCAGAGCAGGTCAGGATGTCACCACATCTCTCTGTCTTGGGCCAGTCACAGTCACAGTGCATTTGTCTCTTCCCCTGGCCATTTGCATTGTGCCTTATGACTGCTATTCTGTGCTTAGCCAGGCCCATCTTATAGCTATCCGGATCAGGAATATGCCCTTCCCCACCCTGTCCCCTGTCCATGGCTTACACCTTCTCTGAACCACTTATTCACCTCTGTCGCCATGGGTTCCTGACTATATACATTGCACTGTCAGTGTGCACTCCATGAGTTTGTCCTGCCACATAGCTGTATGCATCTGACCCATCCTGAGGCTGCTCCCCCCATAAGTCTATTCCACTGTACATCAGACTGTCATATAAGGCCTATTTTCCCCAGCACCTGTCCTGCTATAGGTCTCATTCTTCCATACTTTTTCTTTCTGTATGTCTGTCCCATCATGCTTTTCTCTCCCAGTGTCAATCGCATCCTGCATGTTCTCCTCTGCAGGCTTCTTTTCCACAGTTCCAAGCACAATCTTTCACCACTTAGTGAAGGCAAAAGATGGGAGTGGCAGGAAACTCTCAGGGCCCAGTCATTTTTGTGGGGGGATGCATGAAGCTCTCATTGACATTGATGAGCAGGCCCTATTGGTTTCCTCTGGACAGCCTCCTACTCTTGACAAGTGGCAGATTTCCAGAGAGAATGGGCTATCCTGTTAACATCAACTGGATCCTGTTAACACCAACTACCTAATGCAAACATGTTCCCGAGTGGAGTGAAGCTCCATGCACCTTTGGCTCACTGTGGTGACCAGAGATGTCTTCACTGCACTCAGGCACATAAGGAACCAACCAGCCTTAAATCAACAGGCCATTCATTCTCCCAGCAGGAGAGAAATGTCAGCAGGGAAGCCAAATCCTCCTTCCTTTCACCCTTTCTATCTGGAGCTTCCTCCCTCGAAGGACAGAGTGGCCTGACAGCACAAGGCACAGCTGAATTGGGGGTTTTATTTTTTTATTTCTGGAGAGAATTTTCCAATGGTACCAAAAAAGAAAAGAAATTACCCCAAAAAGTTAGGTTCTACCCTCCTGTTTTCTTCTGATCTATTTCTACAAGCTCAGAGCCTTTTTTAGAATCTCAATAACATGAGCCCATGTCTAAGAGGTCCCCTTACTGCTGCATCTGTGTCCACATTCACACATACATGCATGTCCACCCACCTTCGTGCTAATGACCAAGATTTGGCAGCTGTTTTTTTTTCCTTCCTCCTTTTTATCTTTTTCTCATTCCTTGTTTCAAACAAGCTACTCCTTCAGCAGGTAGGTTTAAAGCAAAATGATCCTGGTATTCTTGGGGCAGTACCACTCCCCTTCAACACAGCCCGCATCTAACTACACCGGCTTTGTCTGAAAGGTACTGGATTCTACCTCTTCTTGCTAGATCTGACCACTGTCAGTTGTGTACTAATTAGAAAATGATTATAATACTGAAACAAAACTAGGCATCAGCCTATTTGAAGGATAAAGAAAAGAAAATACTGTATATGCAGGTATAAGCTGGTTTACTGAGTGACAGAGCTACTTTGGCTAATATAAACATATAGTAGGACTTATGTTAATGTACACCAAACCAATTTTGCCTCCCTTTGTGCAAAGGAGCATTTGTGTCAATACATATCAGGTCTGATGACAAAGTCATCCCCAGCTCTATATGCATCACTTGTGGGGACTGGTTTATTAACAGCATAGGAGATGAAAGAAAAGTCAAATACCATCAGAAACTCATCGGCTGCACAGTTTCACATAAGTTGCCCACTAAATTTACCCTGGCTTAAGGCTGTGTTGTAAAGACTGATGGACATATACATTTTTCAGTGACTCAGCTTATATGCAGGTATATACAATTTCCTAACAAGTAAAGCTGTCTCCTTAAACTGTTTAAAAGGGCTCATAGGCAGCTACAGTGGATCTCAACTTCCCAATGAAAGCAGCTTAATTCACAAACACACAATACACCCCGTGGAGCCCAGGACTGTGGTAATAAAACAAGTGAGACTTAAGAGAGAGGGTTCATTGTCCAGGCTTTATAAGGAGGATGTGCTGTAAATACTACTGTTAAATTTTCTAGGCTCTTCTGTTATCACTTTTTCCTAAACAATCCTTTCTCTAAATAAAACTCTTACAAGAAACACTGATGCCATCTCATGGCAGACTCCTGAATGGCATTGTGTCAACACTGAATTTGTTTGAAGGCAAGCTGCAAAGGAATGAGAAGTAGGGTATGAGCCTTTTTTTCCCTTCTTTATGATAGGTGATGGAGGCCTGTATTTTTTTTAAGTTTCATTTCTGCTTTTATATTACAAATTCAGCTTGTCTATTCTTTCTTCCCCCAAGAAGATTCTGTGGACAAGTGGAGACCTGTTTGGGTTATAACATCAGAGACGACTTCTAGGTGAAACCAGATTGGGAGGAGAATTGATTTTTATTTAGTCTTTTTTAAAAGGGCTGTTTCGTTAGACCCTGTAACTCAAACATCTGAGAAAAAAGTTGTCTTTGTTAAAGGGTCAATTTGGGTAGAAAAAGCTCCCAATCCTTATCAGAGACCAGCATGTTCTGTAGCCTGCCCAGTCATGGAACATCTATGGTAAAAAATAATAATAATAAAAAAGCAGATAAGAAAATCCAGGCCTCCTTTAGCTAGGAAAAAGACTAAAGTCCAATATTTTCTCCTTGACAGGTCCCATTTCACAGGAATGCTATTATCAGCTTGGTAACACTTTTTATTAAGAGTACATTTTTTAAAAATAAGAACTCAAACAAGTTTCACTTTTTTGACCTGGTCCATGGCACTTTGGAGACTGTATAACGCTTAACAGCAAAGGTACTTGGTTGACTATGGCCTACACTGAGGTCAGTTTTGCAACTGGAATTGTGGTTAGCTTTCATTTCCACTAGAGAGGATAGCATGAAAGCAAGAAAAACTTGCAGCACAGCTACAACAACCTAGTTCTTTACATTTGTTATAATGCTGCATATTACAGACAGTTGGCACTTCGCTGTACCCACAGGGAACAGATGTTGGCACCTAAGATCTATTGCTCATAAAAGAAATGTGTAGGTCCTTATCACTTCAGGTAAAGAAGAATATTATCATTATTGCATCGGTGACACATAGTTGAGTCAGTCCAGTAAAAGGCAGTGATACATATTCATAACAACCAGTACATTATGCTATAAATAATCAATTGTAAATTCTAGGCTTATGAGTCCACTGAGAATCATAGTTGATTAACCAAACTACTCAGACTCTGTGATCAAGGTCAGTAGAAGCTCTTGCTGGAACTGTGATCCTAGAATTAACTGTTTTTTGTTATTTATTCTGCACCCTGCCCGTAGTACAAAATGTAACATGCTTTGCTACAGGTTGTCCTAATGCAGGGGAGGGCAATTATTTGAGCTGGCGGGAACTTTGGTGAGCCGTTGCAAGCTGGGCGAGCAACCCTGCTCCCCGCCCCAGCTCACCAAGCCTCCCTAAGTTGTCCCTGCAGGCAAAGAGTGCTCAGCCAGGTGGATGGGATGGGGCAGCGGGTGGGGAGTGGCATCCGGGCATGAGGCAGCTGGGGCTGGGACCAGGATCCGGATTGCAAGGTGGAGATAGCGCAGGCCCAGAGCCCAGGGCAGAGGTGTGATCTACACTCTGCACAACGAATTGCAACCGGCCCAAACTGGGAGAGGGATGGAGCGTACTCCTGTGACTTGGCCCCCTGCCCCCATCCCAGCACAGGCACATGTGGGCAGCCCCAATACAGTGCAGCTGTGGAGCAGCACAGCCTGGCAATGCAGGGTGGCCTAATCTGGTCACAGTGCTGACCTGGGGCTGCCCACGTGCACCTGTGCTGGGGTGGCGGCAGCAGGGGCCAGGTCATGGGTGTACTCTGCTCTCCTGGGTCAGGCTGGTCATAGTCCATTGTGTGGGGAGCAAATTGTGGCCCCACACTGTCACCACCCCACAATCCTGGCCCCAGTCCCACTCCCAGATACTGCTTCCTGCCCATCTGTGGCCCCATCCTATCTGCTTGGCCCAGCGCACTCTGCCTGCAGGGGTCCCAGGCCAGTCTTCATGGAAATCCTGCCTGCTCCATCCAGCACCCCCGGTGGTGAGTGTGGCGTGGACAGGCTGGGGTGCCCAGGCAGCAGGGCTCGGTCTGGCAGCAGCAGTGACACTGGCAGCAGCAGCCAGAAGGAGCTGCCGCAGCCAAGCCTACCAAGGAGTGGAGTACAGCCATTGCACCACCCCAGCCCCCTGTGCACCCAGGGTAGGGGGACTGGTACTATGGCCCAACCTGCTCCCTGCACCTGGGCCGGATAACATCCCTTGGCAGTCTGGATCCAGCTTGTGGGCTGTATTTTCCCCACCCCTGTCCTCATGCCAGCTCTTTGATATTCGTTGACACATTACGTCCAAGTTATTGGTCTCTTGTCAACTTTATCCCTTAATCTTGTTTGATAAGAAAATTCATTTGTAAATGCATATAATAATTATAGCATTTATAATGTGCTATAACGTAAACATATCACATAGTAATACATAGATTATTGTAAACCTGTAGCCTGCAGTTCATAGCACAGTTACAGGTTTTAATATTTTGAAATACATTATAAATATGTTTTATAGTACATTATATTTATAGTACATTTAAAACATTATAAATGTTTTATAGTAATTTATAGGCAGAAAAATATATTTGTATTGACAATACTTATAATTTATATAGTGCTTTTCAGCTTTGATGTGAACTGCAGTTACAGACACCAAATCCTCACAACAACCTTGAGGGTTTAGTTATAATTATTACAGGCAGGAAGTCTAAGGTAGAAAAATTAACTCTGTTTCCCAAGGTAACAGAAATTGCTGTTGGCAAAGCTGCAATTAGAACAGAGGAGTTCCACACTGCCAATCCCATGCTAAGAGCACCAGAAGGTGTTAGTTGGTGTTGGTACTGGGATGTGACCTCACAAACAGGTGGGAGAAAGAAACAAGGTCAGTAATATTTACAAAGAAGCTCTTTTTGAATGGTTTAAACAGAAATGTATTTATCAATAAACTGTTTACAAATCAACCCTTAATATAAAGTGTTACCATACTCTTCCTATAAACAGGTTTCTGGTATAAGAAGGAACATTTCTCAATCTGTGTTTTATTCACTGAACTCTCATTCCATGGCAGGAAAATTGTTCCCAAGCCTTCTTAGCAGATGTCTTCCCTGGGAGGCAGAGGGGAGACTTGCATCGCTCTTTGCTCTGTGCGCCTGTTGTTCATCATTCTGTCTTGGAGGAAATGTGCAGACTGAAGTGCGATTTATTTAATTCACTATCCCCACCCCCCTGTGCACATTCTTTCTTCTGTTTAGTTTGGGGCTTTCTTGGACCTGGGTTTCTACTTCCTCTTTGATTTCTTGTTAGAGAGTCCTTGAGATGTCTGTAAAGGCTGTAACACACTGTACCCCTGTTATTTGAAATCAGATTAAAATCAGGTATGTTTTCCCTTGTTCTGTACCCAGGTCTCTGTCATTTTCTTTTGGTGTCTATTTGTTTTCCTGGCTCTGCACTCCTCTTCGTTATCAAGTGGCCAGCATGGACACCTTCCCATTTCTGCAACTCAGAATTGTAGTGGATCAGACCCAAAGTCCAGATCGGGGCCAGACACAGGCATGGGCAAACTGGGCAGGTGCCCAGGGCCTGCACAGAAAGGGGGCCCAAAAATGGTAATGTTTTTATTATTATCATCATTATCTCTGGTGAAGGGGAGCCTAATTCTAAAAGTTAGCCCAGGGCTGCCAGGAGTCTAGGTACGGTGCTGTGTCTGACACTGGTCTATACCAGAAGGTTCAGAAAAGTTGTTATAACCCCAAATCAAGCAGATGAGAGATAATCTACTTGTATGTGAGATCCCATCCTGATTGCAAATAGTAGCTTAAATCTGGAGCATTAGGCTTAACATAATTAATAGCAACAATAATTCTGGAGATGTTAAGTCTGGAAATTCTCGCTATGCATAACATTGTTCAATCAAATTCTCATTAACTCCAACTCAGCATATTTCTAAAGCTTTTTTTAATGAGCTCATTCCATCCCTTCAGCATCAACAGTTTCTGACTGAAGCAAATTACTGATGCATGTTGTTTTCTATACTATTGACCCAACTGGGGTTAGAACTGAAATAAAAAGCATAGCTCTTTACCGTTCAGCTTAGTTGGTTCGTGCATGGTGCTACTGCCCCAAAGTCATATGTTCAAGGCCAGGTTGGACTAGATAATCTTTCAATGTCTTTTTACAGCCTTAATTCTGTATGTGTAAGTGGTTACATACCTGCTGTTGTGGTTCAGGGGTAGAATCCTTGTCTGCCACACAGTCGAGGGAGTGAAGGCCTGGACTGGGCTCTGTCTGGCCTTTGGATTCTGTCTCAATGGTCTAAAGGGGGAATGGAAGGTCTGGGCAGCCTCCACTCCTCCATATTCTTGCCTAGGTGTATGCATCGAAGGTCCTGATGACTTCTCACGCATATACCGTGATCCAGAAGGATCCATGCTTGCCTGCTATACGTAGTTACATTGGAAATTTGCTGGTTTCTTTATAAAGAGAGGCTGAAGACTTTTCCTTTGCAGCTAAAGTAACAACGAACTGGCTCGATGATTATGCATCCCAACAGCCACAGTGTAGTGCCATGGGGCAACAGGATACAACACCATTTCACTGAAAGAGAAGCTGAAAACTATGGCACAGTGAGTGAGATGTACCTTGTTACTAACGAGAGTGGCAGCTCTGGCACAGAGACCTTTCTTACCCTTGACGTCAAGAGCAAAGGAAAAGGTCTGGGTCTAGTGGCTGTGATTTTTTGCGCTCTGATGTACCCTGAATTCTGCTGAATCAGCTTACAGATGAACAGAAATAAAAAATAAAAATTCTCCTGACAGACTTTGCATGGGACAGCACTAGTCTGGCCTATTAACCTCCCCTGCCAATGAACCACAGCACAAGGACTATTCTTGCTGGTGATGTGTGGTGCTCCCACCCATGGAGTGCCCTGGGGGTGTCTCATGGAGCAGCTCAGAACAGGGTGTGGCTTAGGTTTCTTGAAGTTACTGGTCTTGAAGTTATTAGGTCTGTGTTTGTTGAGCCCTTTAAGAACCACCACATAAAATTGCATATGCTGTCCAAGGGCAGATGCACTTACTAGACACTTGGGTCTCCACTGTCACTCTGATTTGTTTGGCCATTTACATCAGTACATGGTGATGATATTGTACTGCTGTAAATGAGATGAGATACAGGAGGAAATAGGCTGTCTCTTTTTGTCCTGAGCCAAATTCCACCTGGATGCAAAGAGGCCTCCAGTGTTTGACTCCCTTCCATACCAAAGGAAGTGTCCTTAAGAGAACTTGCAAAGCCCAACTATATTACAAACCCAATACCTCTTCTTACCCATTCAGGAGTTCAGAGCCAGATGCTGGGCTATTTTCAGGAATAGCATGCCCCAAGACAGAGTGCAGCCTGACTCTTAGTGCATATTAACTAAATAGAGATCTCTCCAAATCCCTCGAAACTCTGAATAGAAGTCAGGTTCATGCCAGCACTCATTGGGGGCAATACAATAAGCAGGTGAGTGGAACTGGCACTATTTCAGTTGGTTCTTCCTCAGGCCTTTCAGCTTCATAATAAACCATGCCTTAACTACCTCAGCAGATTGTAGATCATATAATGAGATGAATGCAAACCCAGGAAACAGCTAGAAAGGCATCAGCCATCACCCAGGTCTCCTCAGGCCTGGGCCATGTCAGGAGGAAGTCCTATAGAATTCTTTAGGCTTTCTTTGTGAGTCTCTAGAATTTAATAAGGCCTTTCATTGCCAGTGTAATTTAGTGATTTAAAAAATCTATTAAAAGGAGTTCATTCTCTATTTGGTGCTCTAGATTTTGAAAACATTTCCGGACACTTTAAGTCTCAGTCGGCTGGCTTAAGGAGGAACACTCTGGATTTGAACCAAAGACAATGGAAAAGCTTCCCTTATCTTCCTTGGGCTGTGGGCCAGCCTCTAGGTGCTGGAAATGAGT